AGTATACCGACAAGTGTGCCATGTTCATTGATTCTGTTTCATGACATGGCCACGGCATGATGTTTTGCTGCCAGGACTCAGAATATGCCTGTGCGATGAAAGAAGTTTTGCAACTGTTGCACTGTTTCGATTGCTCAGGTTGCATCATCCCTGCCCCCAAACAGCTTTACCTGTGAAGGGGGTGAGGGGTTCTTTCTTTTGAAAGGGTTGTGGGTTGCTTGGGATGGGCTGGTGTCTCTGGCTGTCTGGAGTTGTCTTCGGTCACCTCCGGTTAGTTCGCGTGCAAAAAGAAGTTCCATCTTCTTTGCATTTTTCCCTGTGTGCGTTGGCATAACAGTTCAAACATTTAAAGCTGCAGGTAGCGCCAGATCTTTCTTCAATCAATGGAGGGCGATCACGTATCCGTTTGCTCAGGTTCAATGAGCTTGTCCAGCGCGGCAAGCCTGATACACAGGAAGGGTTGAATCAGTTCAAGATTGAACATCCGGTTGTTGGAGCTGTTTGTTATTCCTCCTTGTTTTGTTGCAGTTGACACTGCGCAGAGAGACTCGTTGACCGAGGCTGGCTTTCCTCCCTGGTGACAAAGATGCAGCGATTGCAACGGCCTTGGTCGTATTCACCATGATGACTATTAAATATTAGGGGAATCGTCTGCAAGGCTCATCTTCCGTCGCTCCGCTTGCACCAAGTCTTTTCGCAGGAAGCACTTACTTGACATGTGTATATAATTGTATCTATAAAACTACATTGCATTGCATTACATCATATTATATATATATATTTATAAATTACTGTGTACAAAAAATAAAAATGTTGGGCTCGAGCCGCTCACACCTTTGCCTGTGCGGATCCCCTCCTGCTTGTGCAAGAGCGATGGCTCCGATGTTCCTGGCTTGTTTGGCCACGACGGTCGTGCTCTCGGTCACGGCGCAGATGCGCAATGATGACTTCCCTTTCTACGACCTTGGGACCATTCCCGCCTGGAAAGATTTGGGCTACTTGCGAGGCACCAAGCATGCTAAGCCCTTTGACAAGGAGGCCTATCACCGTGACCTGAAGCATTTGGACATCCCGCGCTTGTACGAGTCGATCACAAAGCTGATGGTCAGCAGCAAAGCCTTCTGGCCTGCAGATGGTCCGCAGGATGGCGATGTTCCCAGCTACGCTGGTCTTTTCGGGCGCTTGGCGTGGCATTGCTCCGGCACCTTCCGTCTCGTCAATGACACGCACGCAGCCGGTGGCTGTGAGGGCGCCAGGCAACGGCACTGGCCGGAGAACGAGTGGCGAGACAACACCAACCTGGATAAGGCTCGTGGCTTATTGGGCCAAGTGAAACATGAGTTTGGTGCCAACATTTCTTGGAGTGACCTCATCACCTTCGCGGGCACTGTGGCGCTCAAGGCCTCGAGTGGCCCAAAGACGCTCCGCTTCTGCTTCGGCCGCAGCGACGATGTGGATGGTGCCAAATCCATCCCTTTGGGTGTGGAGGGCGTGCATCAGTGTCGAGGAAGCAGGTTCTGCAAGTCTAACTTCGAGTGCCCCACCGCGTTCCACTGGCCCGAGCAGAGCGAGAAGGACCATGCTCGCTGCAACCTCACACAGCCCGACAACAGGCTTCAGGCGAGCCACTCGGTGGGCTTGATCTATGTTTATCCTGAAGGTCCTGAGTTGAGCCCAAAAGCCAAAGGTTACAAGCCAGAGCAAGTCCATCAGCGCTCACCCAGGCTCAGTGCGCTGGAGGTGCGCGACACCTTCCACCGACGGATGGGCTGGACGGATCGAGAGACGGTGGCCTTGATCGGCGGCGGGCATACCTTGGGCCGTACTCACGGGAACTGCAACTTGACGGGCACCAAATGGGGCAAAGGAACGCCCTACAACGACGTGGGCCCCTACTTCGAGGCCTCGCCTGGCACCTTGCGTGGTCCCACAGATGGCACCTGTGGCCATGGGGCTGCCGCTGGGCGTGGTGCCAACACCGTCTCCTCGGGCTTTGAGGGTCCTTGGACCCGCACGCCCTCGCGGTGGAACTACGATTTCTTCCATGCCATGCTGGCAGAGGAGTGGGAACCTGCCAAGAGCCCTTTCGGCAACGACCAGTGGCGCACGAAGGATCGCAAGAGCAAATACGCCAAGACCATGCGCCTCACAGCAGACCTGGCGCTCGTGCATGATGAGACCTATGCTGCGATTGTCAAAGAATACGCGTCAGACTATGCGAAGTTCGACGCAGACTTCGCAGACGCATGGTACAAGTTGATGCACCGATCACAAGCACATCCGAAGGAGGAGGACCTGAGAAAGGAGGTTGGGGTTTGCACCAACTTTGAGTTTGTAAAGTGAGTAATTCGGAACTTTGTAAAGGCGCTTGGGGACCTCATGAGGTGCACTTGGACCCTTCGGGGACCACTTTTGGTCCGGCCCCCGAGACTTCTCTTTCGTGCCCGTATTTGGACAATACCCACTTGGGCATTTGTAGCGCATGGCTCGCAGCTCGTCATGTTTGGACTGTGAGACCAGTGGCGCGGTCTGGACATGCATCATATGGCCATTGTCCTTGTACAGGCCCAGTAGATGGGATCCGGCTTCTCCAAAAGCGAAGGGAGCTGAACAGTCGAATCGAACAATATATACATATGTTGCTGGAACTGCACATCCAACCATTATCATAAAACCAATTCGCTAAAAAAGGACACTTCCACAATTACAACTGAAAGACTATATCACACACAGTCTTGATTGGATGGTAGGCATCCACAGGTACATATATCCAATGCTGCACCATGCAGTCAACGATGTATCATCACACAGTGCCCGAGGCAAATTTGATTTTAACTCCCAGAGATGCGTGAATGAAATACTATTAACATGTGGAATACTTGTTGCATCATCAACTATTCAACATGTTCAATGGCGCTTCTTTTGTCGCGCATTGCATGGCTCTTTCAAAAAGGTTGAATGGGAAGGTTAAACCTTAAACTTGTTAACAGAGGAACCCCACAGAACCCTGCTCTGGCTTGCTGAGATTCATTTAGATCGAAGCCCTTTGCCGATCTCAGTTTGGAGCACCCAGTGCCGATTTGAAGTGGTGGTGTATCGATGGATGCGGGAAATAGGTCAGCCTCGAGCAAAGACAAACCCCAGTGTGATCCAGTGTGGAAAGCATTATACGTACGATGTTGGATCGTTCAAGCAAGTGACGGGTGTTTTGCCTTCGAAAGCTTGCAAGAACATTGGACTAGCGGCGTGCCGGAAGAAGGGATACTTAAGCACTGTTGTTTTATCAGGTTCAGGGCCTTACTGACACCTGGGCGTGGGGCGCCCCAAGCACAATGAAGCAGAGAGCCCTTCGTCACTAACAATGCAAAGACCGTTCTGGGTCATTGCTAGGGCCCAGTACTTTGCAAAAAAGCAAAACTTCAATTCCATGCGGAAGAAACTCTCTTCTTTGGAAATGTAGTTGATGCAAATCCAAGCCAGCAAGCATGTACAAATATAGCCATAAACATGTTACTAGTAAGTCCTTTGAGTCCTCCATGTCTTTTCTGTTGTTTTCCAGGCAATGGCTGACCATCGCCAGCGCAGATGCGGTGATTTTGAGCGCCAGCAACTTCGGTGTCACAGCAGCCGAGGCCGATCACGGCCGAACTGGCCAATCATCATGCCATGGCATGGCCACGCTTCATTTTCACCACAGTGCATGGCTCGAACAACGTGCGTTGATTGACGACGCCATCAGAGATTCCAGTCGGGTGCCGACTTGCAGTTTATCGATTTAGAGAACAGTCTGGTTGACGCCTCCACACTAGGATTAACTAGTTTCTGTGCGGTGCTTGTGTGTTCAGAGTGACCAGGCTGGTAGGGTGCCCATCGCATTTCTTGGAGCTTATGGATGCCGACGCCCAGGAACGTGTTTTTGTTGTTACGTTGTTTGAGCCAGCTACTGCATATTTGTGACATGAGATGCTAGTTGGACAAACATCTCTTGTTGGCTTTCCTAAAAAATCTAGGAACCACATGAATAGCGTGAGCTTTCCTGCGTCCTAGGTAGTAGCTACTCGAGCTTAGTAGCTACCCCTTACTACTAGCTACTTCAGCTTATACTTCAGCTTACTACGGCCTACCTCCAAAAAGAAAACAACAAAAATACATGTACTTTTGGGGCTAAGAAGATAACGTGGCTTCTCAGCCGAGGTCTGGAATCCGATCTGTCTGCAATCTAAGGCCGATCGTTGCTGTGGCCAGACTTCACTCCGCTAAGCACATGATTTGAAAATCATGATCATGCCTACACGCTGTGCTTTCACAATGGGCCGATAGAGAAGATCCAATGAACCCATTCGTCACAACACGCAAAGGAAGCGCGCCTGGTAGCCTCTTGAGCAAGTTCTTCTCCATCATGCAGCCAAGGTGGGGAATACCTCCAGATGGTGCTTAGTTATGATTTGCCAACAAGTTGCTATAAGTTAGTATAATTCACATTCATTCACCAGTTTTGAAGCCCCAACTCCTTGTGGGATTCAGCCATGATCTAGTGTTGACCATGGCTCATCGATGTTCATCCAGTGTTTCGATCAGGCAATGCCTTCTGTATCCCCACAAGCAGACGGCAGCGCCAGTGCCAGGTCCCGCTCGTCCGGTCTGAATAGAAGGGGGATGAAGGGAGCGAACGAAGAACCTGGACAGCACCGACACCACTGACACAATTATAATGACACTAACCGTGTTAAAAACCCGAAGAGGTGGTTATTGAATGCTATTGATAGTTTGAGTTGTTTTGAATGAATCGAAAAGCTCATTGCTTTCAGCTCAGTCGTTCGTTGACCTTGGGACGTGGCACTTTTGTGGCTCCAGACCCACACCTTATTATGACCAGCTTCATGATACTTGTATGAGATTGTCTCAACTTTCCCCAAGCAGCTTGTAGCATCGCTACTAGCAGCGCGGGCTGGGGAAAGATACACAAGGTGGAGAGGATATGTACTACCACCTTTTCCGTCTTTCAAAGGAATTGCGGACCTCAATGGAAATTCAGCGTGCACTCGCCTTGCAAAGCCGATGTAGCCGGAGATGAACGCAGCAGATGTGGAGATATGTTTCGCTGATTGCTGGAAATGCTGCCTTCTTCGTGCCGTTAGACTCAAACAGCATCAAGGCCAGGTCTTGAATCATGTTGTGAAAACGATGTGAAAATACGGAGCCTCGTTCGGTTTCAGCCGATGAAACGTGTCGCGCTTTGGCTTAGCATTTTGGAGCTTCTTTCAGGCGCTCTTTGGCCGCTTCGCACTGCTGGAGCCACCCTCTGCAATATGCCCTGGAGAGGACGATGACTCGTGGCACCCCTTCTGCGCCTTTGGACTGAGCGAGGTCATTGAATGTCAGTACCGCCGAAGCACTCAGAACTGTTTATCTAGAGCTTCAACAAAATTGTTTGTGATCATTTGTGATTGTTATCGATTCTTCTATGGGTTCATGTGATTACGAAAGCCAGCCGATAGGCTAGGCTGGAGTTGTCGATGGGCGAACGAAGTGGGTATTAGGGGGTGTGGGTGGGGTGGTCGCATAGAGGGCCAATCTGGTAGGGCAAACCCAGAGCCTGGTGGGGAGAGCGAAAAAGAGTGCGTCCGACAGGGAATGAAAATGCATGGTTTTTGAGGTGTTGTGAAGCAAGTGATGTGATTGACGCCGAAGAGTGCATCATTAGCACCATGAGGGGATCATGAGGGGCTCAGGAGGCAACTTAAACAGTCTTCTACCAGTGGGAGTTCAATTAAATAGTCTTCTACCAGGGGTGGGAGCGGTTGGAATATGAGTGGAAGGGACTGCAAGAAATGTGATCGGTTGATGGCAGGAGAGGGAGCAGAATGCAGTGCAAGCTTTGAGTTGCTTGGGGGCGCCCTCTTTTTAATGGCGAAGAGGCCCAGTAGCCAGATGCAAAAGGGCACCCCATATTAGGGTGGGAGGCATAGCGGGGGAGGATGTGATAGGAAAAGGTGCATCGCTCAGAGCTCCTCTGGAAAAAACGTGACCTTTAGAGGATAGGAGAGGGAAGGAGGCAACGCGGTCGGAAATGCAGCAGGAAAGTGAGATGTGCGCCTCTCAACCATCACTTCCCCGTGGTTAGCAAGAGTGGAAGGGAACGTCAGCCAGGACGTTATCCGTTGAGGACAGGAGAGGGAACAGAATACAGTCCGTGACAAGCACGGAAGGCGATCTGGCTTGGGGATGGTGAAGAGGGCTGTTAACTGAATGCGAAAGGGCGCCCCTCGGAGCTATCCCAGGGAGTTAGGCGGAAAGGGGGACGCGTCGTGACGGGAGTAGAGGTCGGTAGCTCACTGGGAAAGTGAAAACTGATGTTAGGCAATCCGTGATCTTCACTTCCAATCCGCGCTTGGCGGCGCGACAAGAAAAAGAAACAGCAGCCAAGCCAGTGGCTTGGGGGTATCCTTTTTCAGCTTGAAAACGTCCTTGAACCACGAAGAAAAAGGGCACCCCCCGTACCATGTATTCTGCTTTCTCGATTCTACCACCCGTCAGCGTGGCTACCATGTCGACTTCATGACAAAGCTACTCTTTGCCCGATATTAAACGCTCACTTGATCTTGGCTGTCACATCGGACCAGCATCTACTGGACAAGAAAAAACGAACAGCGTGTGAGCGCCCGTCGACTCCTTAGGGGTGCCCATTCTCAGCCTGAAAACACCCTTAAGTCGACGGAAAAGCGAGCCTATATCTTCTGCTTTCTATTTCCAACAGCAGTAGACATCACCGCCATGCCGACCTCAGTGACTTCGGGGTGCCCTTTTTTCTCTTCAAAATGACCGTTCATCCCAAACAAAAGGGCGCCCACCCCCCCCACCTGTGACTGAGGGCCTGTCATATCGGCCCGGAGCGCTTCCCATGCGCTCTCGCGTTCACCCCCCATGACCATACTGATCTCTTCTTACGGAGGCTGGCTTTCGTCCCGTCCCTTCTCAGGTGTGCACATTCATGTATGTATGTATGTCTGTATGTATGTATGTATGCATGTATGTATGTATGTATGTACATATATTTCTCCTTCTGTGTTCTTTGTTTTGTATTCTTCTACGGGCTCACATAAAGGCCTCACAAGCTGGTGCCGCTGTAGGTACAATGGCTACCAGTATTCGATGGAGTGGTACTTTCTCGAGATGCTCCGCAACAATCGGCAATACCGAAGTGAGGACCTCGAAGATGCAGCTCGCTCAGCTCACCTGCCGAGACCTTCCAAACTGTTTCAATTTGTTTCAACAACACTGCTTAGTCGGTATCGAAAGGTGTTCGATGATGCAACGTTATGTAACAGCACCGTCAACATGCGTTGTCGAATCTGATTCTCATAAACCATCTCAAAGATCCGATTAGAGTCAAAAGTCTGAGTTTGCAACATAAAGGTCTTGCGAGCCCACATTCCAGTTGATACTCTATGTGCGCAAAATACAAGAACGGGGACCAACATGGGGGCCTTATATGCTGTATGTAGTTCGCTGAAGTACTGTGGAACTCGGCTAATTTGATTCTTGTGCTTAACTTGCCGGAGCTGAGGCGGAGTTTATTTATTTCCCCCATTGCGTGTCACAGCTCTACTTTGCCCTGCGACAAAGATTCAACTTTACGCATTGGCAGGCAAGGCCGGGACTTTTCTGCGAGGGTTCGAAACCCTGCGAGAGCAATTGCAGTTCTGCAGGCTGTGGCAGAATCATCAAGATCTGCATGATGTTTGATTTCAATCATATGAGGAGATACGCAATGAGTCCAGGATTTAGGTTTCATGCAGATGTTTCACTTGGAGGCACCCATCAAGTGCCAATACACGAGTTGCGAAGATCCCGCTTTGAATGGACCGCTTTGCGAGTGAATCGCTGTACCTTTTCTTCGCCGTAGGCCATCGAGCGAGCGGAGTTGGGATATTTGGTTCCGATTTTGAGATGGGCACATCGATCTCCGGCTCATCAAAGGCGAGTGTGGGGGAGCTGGACTCACAAATGGAAAAGTAGCCCTCAATAAAAAAGAAAGTTGGAAAGTCTTACATCTAAGTGTTTCTCTCCAAGAGCAGACTGACAATGAAAAGCTTGAGCGGCTGAGCCCTTCCCAAGTTTCAAGGCATCATGGCCGGAACTTTTGGACTGTCTTCAGCATGGACCTGGGACGTCGCTTGACAAGATAGTTGGCATTGCGACCACTGATATGTGACCATGATTTGGATTTCAGGAAGCGTCTGGCCAGCTTTCAAGCACACGTTTCTTTTAGAGTCATCACTGAGGCCGTGAAAGGGACAGATTAGAATAGAAGTATTACAAAATATTTTGCAGTATAAGATAAACTAATTGTATTACTAGTGTTATATATATAGTTTAGAATAATGTGGTTACAGTGCCTAATTTCCATGTTTGATGGGAAACCAGGCCAGGATTTCCCTCGATCTGCGGCATGGCTGGAACCCTGGAGCGTTGGATCTTTGACAGGGCTTCTTGGCTTTCGAGCTCTTTCCTTCCAAGAATCCAGGCATTTGATAACATTTCCTGAAACTGCTAAAGCAATTTTTTCATTTTGGCAGAATCTAAACAACAGGGCCATCAGATCGATTCGGGCACCCAATCAAGAGGTCTTTTAAAAAGACTGTGTATCAGGAGTGATCATGTTTAGTAATGTGGTAGCATAGAACCCTGGCCTTTCCAACTTCTCCGAACGGAAGAACCATTTGGTGCGACTAAGGAGTGCAACATGGATGCGAGACAACGACATGTTCTTCAAAACTCACAGCGATTCGCTGAGCAGCGCTCGAAAGGCGCGATTCCGGGGAGAAATGAGTCCGGGAATGGATCAAGTTCAGCTTGCCCAAGGATGCTGACGGTTCAGACTGTTGGGATTTGGACACTGCTCCAGTTGCCTTGGCAAACACGATGTTTCCTGCCCGCAGCTTGGTTGCAAGGAGACCCAATGCAGCAAAACGTTTCATGCATAGGTTTCAGCGGATTCACACTAGTTGCAAACGTGCTTTTCAACAGTTCTTCAGATGTCTGCAGCCAAGGAAACTTTCGGGTCCAGGACACAGTGATCTCTATTCCTTCCCGATTTTCACCGCACCCCCGATCCCGTCGTTTTGGAGGTGTTGCAAGCGGAGCGGAACGGCACTTGCAGTGTTCCAATCTCTTCATGAGTTTCTCAGTGCTCAGACCTCACATGATCCTACATGAATTTGCTGCTCCAAAAAGCATCAGGATGGCATCATTTGAATTTGCACCAATCCAGTTTGCATTTGTTGGACACATGGTCTACCAAATTCTTATGTGGCTGTGCTGTGCTCCTTAGCTCAAATCTAATCTCATTTTGTGTAGGTCGTCCAGTCCTCGCCTACTTTGCGGGCTCACCGAACTCTTGTGCCAGGCACCCTTGCTGGACACAGCAGTGGTATAAATGACCTCCGACCTAATAGTGATGGCCTCCAACCTAATAGCGCGAGTAGCCATAGCTGCCCCATTTATGTCATCTAAACAGCAAACAGAATTGTCTCTCAGCCAACTTATGGAGATGTTGCGACTTAAAAACTCTCAAACGCACAAGACGACTTCAAATTAGACAGCATTGAATGAATCTCTTCTCCTCTAACTGCTTTGTTTTGGGGCAGGGAAAGGATTGTGAAGGTGCTGTCCGGGGAACCTGGCTTCGATTCTTGGCACTCAAACCTTTGCGGATGTCGTGGAATCGCCGATGGTTGAGGAAGTGAACAAGCAGCATCCTTTGAGAGAAGTTAGTATAAGTACAATCTGCACAAATACTGTACATGAATGCGCATGAACTGAAACGAAGAAGGTTTGCGATCAATCCACTGCATGTGTGTATAATATAGATTCAAAGTGCCTTCAAGGTGTTGCATTCATATGCTGGCATGCTCCAAACCCTGGCAAACGATAGGGGACTCACAGATCTGAGGATGCAACAGCTGCCCATTATAGCTTACTATAGTAGCAATGCCCTTGTTACTAGCGATTTTGCAACTATGTATCAGAGATGTTGTGTTACAGTCATATGGGAATTGGTGATATGTGCCAATTGGTATGACACCAGCGCAACAGCTCCCCAAAAACAGTACAAGAAAAGGTCGGCGCTGTATTCTTGCTTTGCTTGAAAAGGTTTAACGGTATGATATGCCGCAGTCTAATATATCTTGATGACAAGAGCTTCTGGGGTGGGTGCCCATGTGAGTGTCTAGTGGTGATCCACTCTTCAAGGGCATCAAAAGCGAGCTTGCATGGAAGCGAGGATGTCTCCACATCCTTTGCCAAGAGCAATGATGACTACCGTGAGCGGATGTGGCGAGCACGATTCTGCTTTGTTCTTCGAGGCACTGACGGTTGTGCCAAAGAAGATAACCACCGAGGCGATTCTTGCGATAAGGTCACATTACTTTCCCGTGTGAAAGCTAAAGCTCACTTGGTGACTGCATCCGTCAAAAGGATTCGGTTATATTTACCTGATGTTTGAACTGTTCGCCATAAGGTTTGTCGTAAGGGGCAGGGAAGCCTCCTATGCAGAAGCAGACACAATTTTGAACTCTTGGGTCATGCTGGCCAGAAGGATCGTTGCAGTGAGTGTGGCCACAAGGACTTCTTGCTTTGGGTTTTTTGAGATCTGAAATGGTGCACTTTTTCCGAGAGGGTATCAGCTGAAGAGATGCAAGTTGGAGCTCACTTATGTTTTTTCTCTTTACGTTACAGTAGCATTCCCTTTTATGTGTGAAAGACGGTCCAAAACGAGTGGCCAAATTGTTGCGGGCACGCTTCAATTGGTCCCGGGGCAACCTGAAACTGCCAGGCTCATCCCACACCAACAACGTTCGCCTTTATGATGTCATCGCACATGGCTGCGTGCCGATCATCGTCTCTGACGACTTCCAACCTCCACTGGACCGACTGTTGCCGTGGAAGGACCGCGAGAAAAGACGAACAAGACTAAGATGTTCCACGAGCAAATGAAGCTGGTCAGTTCTTGAGAGTGCTGAGTACTGGTATAGCCACAGCATGCTACAGCCACAGAGCCTGGTGTATTGCATTTTTAGCTCGAGCAAGCTTTGTGTTTCTTCGCCGTCCGTGCAAGGACATGGCAATCTTCTTGCCGACCTCAAGCATTCCAAGGCTGGAGGAGGGACAGCGAAATAGTTTGAACTGGATAAACTTGCTCGCTGAACTGTGCCAAGTGCATTGCATAGCTTCTCGAGAAACTCTACATAACCATGCTGCGGCTCGTTGACATTTTTTTCTACTAGCTCGGTGTCTAAAGGCGAGATTGGGCGAACGATTACCTTTTTTTCCAGGCTTGTACATCTCCTTCGTCATGAGATCACAGAAGAAGATCGATGGCGTTGCTTCCGGAACATCGCCCTCGGAAGCCCACAAGGCACATGCCCGGGGGGGTAGGCCGCTAGTAGTAGAGGTGAGGTAGGCAGTAGCTAGAGGTAGCTAGCTAGTAGAAGCTAGGGAGTCGCTAGTACTTACTTATATAGGCTACTACATATTGGACTCAGGATCGCATTATTCTATTCATTTGGTTCCTAGACTTTCAGGGCACTTGAGCTCACTTTGATACGAGCAACCTGATTTATTTACGCAAAGGTATTTAATAAAGGACCCGACATTGGCATTGCAGAATTTGCATTTTACTTGGAAAGCGATAATACACTCATCAAAAAACGATAACATATTGATAGCATCATGTTTTATTATAGGAAAGCGTAGTTTGCATAGCTGCAGTACAGCTTTTTAACCAGAAGACCATCAGGGAACCTCGTTTCTGCTTAGTGTAGCCTTTCCCAAAGCCGTATTTGACTTCGGACTTTGGCGACAGGTTTGTCCGAAATGTAGCTGTAGTCAAACGATAACCTAAACGACAACCAAACGATAACGTAAATGTAGACGAACCTGTGCTACGAAACCAGTGCCCCACTTGTATCTGAAACATATCTTCCAAGCAAGCTCAAGACATGGCTGGTCTACTACTACTACTACTACCACCACTGCTACAACAACAACAACTACTACTACTACTACCACCACTACTACTGCTACTGCTACTTCTACTGCTACTACTACTACTACTACTCCTGCTGCTGCTACCACTTCTACTCCTACTGCTACTACTGCCCCCACCAAACGGCGACAAGTCAAAAACAATGCTGGGGCTGTGTGGAGCGATATCACCAGAAGGCGATACCCATGACCTTACCACACAGAAGGAGTTTTGACCGTCGCACGTCTGCTTCCATGTCCAAACAGTCTGCTACATTGTGAAAACAACCTTTAACCTAAGTAAGGTTCAAAACGTGGAAAACGACAATACACTCATCAAATTGAAATGTGCAAGGCCCACATAACAAATAAACAGCGTCGCTCTAAGCTTTGCTTGACAGCGAAAAATCAGCAGCAGCTGTAGGAACCTTTGGAGAATGGGAATACGGCATTTTGCGGTGATTTTCGCTCAGGTGAGAAAGGATTCCCAGAGGATTTGGAAGCAGCGAAGCACATGGCTTCAAAGTTTGCTTTGGACCGTGACACCCTTTGGAGTGGGCTTTCAGCTGGCCGCGTCCCTTGGCGATAGATGAGACAGCAGACTATTCTCACGGGCATTTTGCAACTCAGGTCTTCGAGTGGCACGACAGCCATTTCTGGATACTCTTTTACGCAGATGTTGCAAACAAGCTGCGGGATCGTGTGAAGCAGGCACAAACATGTCATGTTTTGGGGAGAAGTTCAGACTGCTTGCGGTTCAGTCCGTGCGAAAGAACCTTCGCTGTGGTTGCAGGCAGTTGAGAAGGCTGTGCACCCCGCACCCCTTCGCGTCAAGACTCTCGAGCAACCAGAGGTGCGCAGAATTCCGCCAAGCTCATGAAAACACACTCACTCTACCTGTTCAATCACTCAAGTGGCTGCAATGGCAACATGTTTAAAGCTCGTGGGAGGGAGGCAGTAGGCAATATCTCCAAGACCTCCAGAGCACACTACCCACAATGGAAGAGTCCCTGTTAGATCAATTTTGCCAAGGTCCGGAAGCTGGTTCTGCCTTCTTCTAGAACTCATTGATGACCAGTCCAAGAACTATGGGCTTTATCTATGGGTTGAGATTTATGTCGGTAGATAAGTGGACATGCTTGAGCTTTGCTTGATTCTTGTCAGCCCAGCTCAGGGTTCGCCAACCCCCCGGGGATCTTTCCTGGCTCTCCAATGGCTGCTGGATCTCCATCATCGCAGGGAGAAACGCTGCTAGATCTCCAAAATGCTGTCCTCGTGACTTAAAGATGTTCACTCTTTGACTCATTCTGTACATTTCCGTGGTTCCATTTGAAAGGTTGTTTGCCATTTGATATCAAGCAAGCAGGAAATTGAGTTCCAGCAGGGAGGGCAACTTGCTCTTTGCTTCTCAGGTTCGCCACAAGTAGTCCGCTGTGGAAGCGATTCCTTTTTTTCTCAAGGCGCAGTTGGGGATCCTTCTGATGCCGGCTCTCACTTGCTTCCGGTACATGTCTTCTGTACGTGTTTTATTTGTTTTCGTTAAAGGGAAACACGAGTCCTATCCGGTCCTATCCCATTGGTGACGTGTTGGGCTGGAAGTTTTGCCGTGGAAACTTTGCTGTCAGACTAAAAGTCCTGGAGAGTTGCAGTCCACAGCACAACATGAAGATTTGACTCTTCCTGCTTCATCTTCCTTCCTCAGCCTCTCAAGTCTTTTTGGCACGTTTCAATTTCCCAGGCAGGTCTAGCCCTTCCTTGAAGCCTTTGGAGGAGAGGGGTTCTTGGCAGGGGAAGTTTGATTTCATTTCAGACCCATATTTTGCCGCAGGTTCACTCTGTGTTGCTGCAGACCATCGCGCAGACACACACACACACACACAACTATTGAATCATCAATACTGCATCATGGCGTGCGTTTGAAGGAGTTCGACGTGGGTGGTGGCTTCAACCTAGCAGTGACAAACAGGCATGCAATGGTCATTGTCTCACAAAGAACCATGGTCCTGGCCCTGGCGATGTAAATCAGATAATGTTGGCACATAAATGCAAAGGAGAAGCAGGATTACATTTCCCAGACCATGATGAGCCAACAAAGTACACGCATCGGAGATGTTAGTGCAATGTACATGCTGATGCTTGCTTCAGGACACACTGCTTGGTTCATAAGTAGCTCAATGCTTGACAGGCATAGCTGCAAGAGCGAACCCACCAAGTTCCAGAATGCAGTCTTACAGGCTGGGACGGCACCGGAGCGGCTGCATATCACAGCCTTTTTCACATGTAGCCTTGGGTTTGCTGTGCAGGTCAGTTCAGATTGCGAGATGTCCATTTGGGAGCTTTTGAAAAAGAATTCTCCGCAGATACTTTGGATTGACAGTGTCCTGGCAGAGGTTTGGTTTGGGTCTCGTCAAGTAGCATCGAATCCATTCCAACCTTCCTTGGAATGCACATTTCTTAAACAGGCCTTGCAGACTGTATTTGCACTGAAAGTTTCACTGGGTATCTTTTTCCTATGTGCATTGAGTAGTCCTTTGTGGAAACAACTGTTTGTTTTGGGCACCAAGATACTACAGCGGAGTTGCGAAAAGACTTGGCCTTTGTTGGTTGGCTGTGCTTCTCTCAGGCAGGGTGTGGTGAGTGTAGTGTGAAAACAGCCACTGGCAGGCAACTTCAACGCATCAAAGGCCACTAATCATCATGTCAGGAAGCCCTTCACACTCACTTTTTGTTTTTATGAAGTTGTTTTCTGAGACTCAGGGGGCCGAAGACAGGTGACTCAACAGATGCAGTCAAGCTGAGCATGCTCTCTTTGCTTTTGCTTACTTCTGTACCCAAAGGTTGTTGGGTCTTGGGCAAATATGTCGCCCCAGGTTTGTTCAATATTGCTACTTGCTATTCAGTGCTGCTTGGCCAGAGGCCACTTTGCAACCCCTCTTCCATCCGTTCGAGCTTGAGGGGTTGAAGCCGGTGATATGCGGACAGGAGCTGTTGAACAAGCTTTCCAAGAAAGAACCCTTGATGTGGAAGGTGAGGGGAATAGAAACGGGACAATTCAGGAGCGTGATGGTGACTTGGAAAAGCTCTTGAAGCTTGGCTCCTCGCAAAGCTCGGAGCGATGGGGTGCACAATTCACATTCTGGCACCATCAAGAGAATACCAGAGGTCGATTCCTCTACACCTAAGTCGTGGCATCTTGTCGCAGCATTCATTTCACAGCACTTGAACATGTTCAAACAGACGAAGTAATTAACGCTGTTTAGACTTGCAGGCTCTGGTGCGCCATAAACCTAAGGTGGATTCAGGATGCGAATCTGGTCAGTCCAATCTCCTATGGAGCTGTGGCTGTAGCACAAGCTTCTTTGAGATACAAATTCGGCAGAGCAAAGCTCGGCTCCGTGAGCTCGGGTGCAGAGAACCCTCGAGAACCCTCGAGAGCAAGGTCTGCGTGCCATGCGCGGAGATCTAACGACGTGTCGGACGCGTTGGACGGCAACGGCACATGAGTTTCCTGCGAGAAGCTGCCGAAGAGTCTCCTGGGCAGAGGAAGGAAAAGCATCCATGAGGTCATCCACTAGCTACAGCGGCTAGCGACACGTTGACCATCTTAAATCGTGTCCAGCGCTTTTTCCTCCAAACTGTCAAGCATGAGCTGTGGCCACTTGGAGTTAGGTTGGAGGCCATTGGTATTAGGTTGGAGGCCATTGCTACTAGGAGTTGTGCACTGTCCAGGGCAGAACTGCAGAAGCAGATGGAGTTCTTCCAGGAAGAGGCTCGAAGAGGGCTCTTTTCTCCAGGTGCTTCCACATGCTCAGCCCTTGCTATATATACATCTATTTTTGTTATGAGTTATGATTTGCTATTGCTGCTTTCACATGCAATAGAGAACAATGTTGCATGTCCTCACGTATATTTCCTTTCTTTGGCTCATTTCTGTGCAAAATATGTTTTTTTCAGTGGAGTGCTTGACGCGTGTCAGAATAATATCTGACAAAAAGTGCAGAGCAGCAGTTCTGTCTTAATCCGCTTGTCGATTGCTCTCTTGTCCGTGCCTTTCAGGAGATTTGCCTGACCTTCTTCGTTTCAACCAGTCGCTTGCAACCTCGAAAAGGGAGTGAGACGAAAATGTGCGACATGATGGCCTGCAAAATGTTTGGTTTCGAGATCGAATCTCGCTTTTACATCCTTTGAGACAATTGCTTCTTGATGCTTGTTGTTTTCCCACTTTAGATCATAGAATATTAGTGAGCATTGTCGGGTGCTTCCCACACATTCAGAGTCCTGTCATTGCTGTCTACCACATTCTCAACACTCATCGCATGGACACATCGAGTCTGCCTTGGCCGTTATACATCAAGCTGTTTGGACTCCAGAGGGCTTCGATTCCATCAAGTTGCTAGCTTTGGCTGGTCAAGTTGCTTGAGGCGCAAGAGTAAGCGCAGTTTTGTCGCTCTGAACACCATGCAGTCTAGAGCCGTCAGACAGAGTGGGCCTTTCTTTCCATACCTGGTTGAAACCATTTCACACTGGCACTTGTTTTCGCAGGATCATGTTCTTCGGATGCTGCTGCACCGAAAAGGAGGAGGGTTTTGACTCTCTTGCAGTGGAGTCTTGGCAGTTTGGTGTCCAGTCGAGTAGATCATGGCTTATCACAGATACGCTGGCTACAAATCTAGGTTCACAAGACTTGCTTGCATTAAGGATGAGAAGGAGACCAAATTGGTGAAGGCATCGCCAGCTTTGAAAAGTTCAATGGCAGAGGACTCTGGCTTGATGGAGCCTTGGGCAGACTGGGGTACTTGGTGCATCACAAATGCATCACGTCGACGATAAATGCATTTCCCACACACCCGGCGTGTATTGGAACGATTGTTGAAACTTCATGAAGTGAAACGTTGAATAGTAACAAGGACGCCACTAGGGGCTGGCCGTACTACCCATTCGCCAAGGAACAGAAGAACTGCTACTTGGTCACTTTGCCGCGCGGTCCTGATGGAAAGCCGGACATCGGGGTCGAGAAGTCAGACTCCGATGCTTGCCGCATTGTAACAGACCCTCCACTTGCGTCATGCCTGGATGCCTGGAGATGATGTCACAATATGTCACCTAGGACTTCTTGATGATCAAGAAGATGACTGCGGGAATGTCGAGTTGGAATGAGATCCTCGGCAGACTTGTGGAAGGGTTTGGGGTCCAACTTGTAGCCAAGATACCAGTTGTGTTCAACATCTGCACCGGGCGTTGGATAGACACAAATGCTGCCAGCAGCACAAGAAGCAGACAACAGCAAGAATTGCATATTTGTGCATTTTTGGTGGTTGATCAAAAAGTCGACATATGCCCTGGGTTCATTGAGAACCTCTTAATTATATTGTTCGCGTATTTTTTGAGTTGGCTAAAGTAAAGGTGGTTTTCGCGAAAGATCTGCAGAAGATAGTTGTGCGGAAACAACCAAGCCAAGACAACTTCCAATCTTCTAGCATAACCCCCCCGCGAAAGTTCAACATGGAGGTCGCGAAAGATTTGCGAGAGCAAATATTTTGAATGAAATGTAGCAAGCTGAAGAAGGCTGAAGGAAGGTTTGAATTAGTGTATACGCGTCGCAAGCCGAAACATCACGTGAACCGCAAGCTCCATCACCTCACCGAGATCACAACAAACCGCGAACAGACGCCATCACTCCAGACGCACGCCAGAAGAGCAAATACCAAGTACCAAAACAGGTACAAAACAGGCAGATTCCTACCAGGAACCAAAGGCACTGCATGCACAGCCCCCTCGACCTGTACTGTGCATGTCAACCTGGACGCAGGTGTCATAGGGGAGTTCAGCACCTTACAGTGACCCAGCCAGCAATGCTGCACTGGATCGCCCCCACATAGCACCCATAGGGGTGAAACAGCAAGAAATTGCCTTTCCGTAAGAAGGAATTTAGGTTGGCGCGGATCAGACAGAAACTGCACGGACCTACTGTGGAGTGGAGATCAGGCTCCCAGGCAGTTCCACAAGAGCAGAAGAACAAGAACAACCATGAGGGCGATAGGAAGGCACAAAGGCTAGAAGAAGAATGCCAACAACAAGAAGAACCCAGACAATGACTGCAAAAACAAGAACAACATGAGCAAGAAGCAAGAAGAACAGGAGGAGGACGAAGGAAGGAGGAGGAAGCGGCGATTTGGCTCACGATGCCTTTCTACATTCTGGTTGGTGAAGCACAGCCAGTGGCAGGAGCGGTGTGTGTGTGTGTATGTGCCAGGACCTTTCATCGTTTTGATCTCGGCTCACACCGGTGGAGAGCCAGTAGATGGAAAAGAAGAAGTTGAAGAAGAAGCCGAGGAGGAGGAGGAGGAGGAAGAGCAACAGCAGCAACAGCAACACCAAAAACAACGATGGGTTTGCGGAATAGCAGCAAAAGGCATCAGCGAAAAGAGGCAATAGCCAATTTGTTCTCAGCCTTCTCAGCCAGATGCTTGCAGAATAGGTTTCAATCCCTGCATCGGTGTTGAGTGTTGTTTGGTGTGTTTGGTCATACTCCGATGCCTCGCAAGCTGCTCATGAAAATCGACCTACTAGCTTCTTGCTACTAGTAGTAATGCCCTTGTTACTAGTAGGGATGCACTTGCTACTAGTAACTTCTTGTTCCTAATGCTAATCCATCCGCATTGAGGTCTCATCCGACTTCGCATCAAATCGGGGTCTTCGACCGCATCGTGGAGGTGAACGGCCAAGCTGCCCCAGGAAAAGAATTGGATACTCGGACGGTTTGGAATTCCGGAAGGCTCCCAAGAAGAAAAGCAAAAACAGAAGAAAAAGGGAACATCCAAAGAGAAACCGCAAAAAGAGACGAGGCTGAAAAGGGCAAGTGGCAGAAAGCGGAACACATGGGAACACTGCACCAAAGCAATCTAAAATTACCTAGAAATCAAAGAAGTAGTCTTCTCGTATTGGAAACTTCAAGTTTGGCATGAAGGAAATAAGAAACACAAAAAGAAGAAGCAAATCTTCAGGAGTTTTGGATTCTGATGAAAGCACTATACTATCTATTTGTTGCATTTTGTTGCTAGCGCTGAGAGCAGATTTAGTATGGAGGCAGAATCTTGTCAATGGTTTTGGACATTTGATATATATATATATATGGTTTCCCGCCCCCGGGGGTAAAGAGTAACACACCTGCAAATTCTTATTCCGTAGTGTTTCGGCTTTCAGAAAGGTGAATGAGCATCTGTAACGGGTGCAATTCCCGACTGAAGAAACCAGTTGGGTCTTCGGGGTACTGTGATCCCTGTTGGCTGGTTGTTCGCATCGAGCGACTAGTGTTTACAAGGTGTCCTGCGCATACAGTGGGTGATTTGGTCGAGTACCTCAAGACAGCCACCGCTACACTGGAGAGGACTTGCGAGAAATTCGAGGCCGACCGCACTGCTGGTTACGTTACTGAAGACGGGGAGCCGATCCCTGGTGCCCGTAAGAGGATTTTAGCAAATCGAACAGGAGGAGACGCATTTGAAAAGGGCATTCATCGCGGAGAGAAGGACCAGCAAGCATCTTCAACGAGGAGGACATCTTTGGACACAGTCCCTGTGAAGAAGGAGAGAGAGGCAGATTCATGGAAAGAACCCTTGGTGGACGCGAAGGAGAAGAAGCCAGGAAGGCGTGAGAGGTCAAGGAGACGCAGGAGGTCGAGGAGCAATACAAAGCGATCCAGGTCAAGGCATCGTTCAAAGCGCAAAGAGAAGAAGGACAAGTCGGGGACTCCAGACCCTGAAGCCAGTGGCATCGAGGAGACACCGGAGGAAAAGCCCAGGCCTTCAGCCGGGGTAGAAGAGGAAGAAGAGCAGCCAGAGGAAGAAGTTGTTCATACAGAAGAGGAGGAGCAAGACGACGAGAGCACAGGAAACAAGCTTGAACTCAAGCGTACGGCAAAGCCTTCGGCCCGCAAGCCGCTGCCGCCGACCGCGCTCACCATCCTATTCACCTCCAGGCTACCGTGATTGAGAGGATCAGAAGCCCAAGAAGTGGAAGGGACTCAAGCACGTCATTCGAGGACAGCTCTATTACAACAGTGGACCCCCGAGAAGTAAGGGGAAAAAGACCTATCAGGGAAGTACTACATGGTGAAGCTCTTCGGGACAGATTTGGAGGCCTTGTTGACTTGGGCGGCGAGCGGGACCACCGGTTACGCTCGAGTTCACATCTGCACACCCGATTGCGGACAAGACTCCGAAGGTCCCGGACTCCTACATTGCAAGAAGCATCGGGGCATCCGAACCCTGGAAGAAATCCGAGACCTCCTCTGGCGCGACGTGTTGGTCAGTGCAGGTCGCCGAGAGGAGGACGAGTTAGCCGGGCTGAGAGGTCGGATGGAAGACCTCCCAGCTCCTGCCGGGGCAGATCCAGGAGCAGAAGATCGTCCAAAGGAGGAAGACAGAGAGGTGCAAGACAAGGAGAAAAAGAAAAAGAAGAAGTCAAAGAAGAAGAAAAAGCGCGCAAGGAGCCCATCGAGCACCTCCCAGTCCTCGAGTACAAGCTCAGAAGCAAAACACAAGGCTGTCAAGCAAAAGGTTGGTCGTGCATAGCGTATGTAGTTCCCTGCTCATCGGTCCAGATACCTTTCGACTCAGCATTTGTCGATAATATTTCAGGAGCGTGGGAACCCAACAATCCTGCTGGTTGGATTCCTGTCCCGCTTCTTCCAACATCAACTCCTGCATATTCTCGATGGTCTGGGCTGATAAAACTCCGGGGAAGCTCAGCCCTGACTCGCTGGGGCTCGCCAAAAATGGCTTGCCCCTTCAAGGTCGTTTCCTCGCCGCTTGAATTGCTTTTGCTTTCTGCCCTCTTGCTCTGAGATCGCTGCGCATGGTGGGCGATTTGATGTTGCGTGGCCAGCTTCCAGACAGTGAAGTCTTTGGAAGCCCAGATCAGTGGTCTTGCATGGACAGCAGCCCAGCGCCTGGAACTCCTCCCAAGCGACACGGCAACCTTATCTTCGAGGCAGGAGTTGAAGATAGCTACAACCGAGCAGCGAGCGGAAGCCCAGGCGCATCAAAGCGGTGCATGGTGGAGCAAAGGGGCCGGCAAGGAAGGGAGCAAAGGAGAAAGGACAGAAACAGGAAAAGGCAAGGGAAAGAAATTAAAGGAGAAGCCGAAAAAGGATTGAAGCCTAGGTCCAATTTGCTGGAGAACTATGAGGGTCAACATCCTGAGTTTGCGGGGCATTTGAACCCTCTGGAAGCCAGGACGAGCCAGGTATACAGCAGTACAGTTGGAACGGGGGTGGAGATCCCTGTGAGCAGTGGAGATGGTCGGGGCGAAAGCCCTGAGTATGAGGATGACAAGCCTATGACGACTGGTGGTGCTATTTTGAAGGAGCTGAC